CTACGTTAAAACGGTCATTGTTGATTTGATGCTTCGAAGCGAAGAGAACATTCAACGACAGCTGAGTGAAGCCATCAGCATTATTGGCAAGGAGGACTTTCCTGAAAAGTGGACAAATCTCTTGGAGAATATGGTCACTCGAGTTCAAGAGGCCTGCAACCAGTACAACTTTGCGGTGATCAACGGCGTCTTGCAAACGGCTGATTCGCTTTTTAAGCGCTACGAATTCGAGTACAAGTCCACCGAACTATGGGCCGAAATCAAATTTGTCCTTGACACTTTTGCCAAGCCTTTCACTGAACTTTTTGTGTGGATCGTCAAGCTGATTCCTGAGCACTTTAACAATGCGCAAAACATCAAAATCATTGCGAAATCGCTGGTGTATTGCTCAAAGATCTACTACAGCTTGAACATTCAAGATCTTCCCGAGTTCTTTGAGGACAATATTGACGTGTGGATGACGAATTTTGCCGAGCTTTTGCAGATGGAAAACAAAATTCTGCAAAGCGACAATCCTGACGAGCCAGGCGTTCTTGAAGATTTAAAGTCTCAAATTTGCGAAAATATTGGCCTCTATGAGGAAAAGTACAATGAGGAGTTTGAAAAGTACCTCGGTGGCTTTATTCAACAAGTGTGGAATCTTCTCGGGTCAATCAACAGTGACGCCAAGTATGACAGCCTGGTGAGCAATGCCATTCGCTTCCTGTCCATTGTTGCCGAGCGCGGTCTTCACAAGGAGATATTTGAGCAAGAGCAAGTCCTCCAGCAGATTAGCTCTCGAATCATTATTCCCAGCATGGAGTTTCGCGAGTCTGATGAAGAGCTCTTTGAGGACAATCCTGAGGAGTACATTCGCCGTGACGTTGAAGGGGCCGATGTGCACACCCGACGACGGGCCGCCTGTGATTTTGTAAAGTCCCTCGCGAAGCACTTTGAGAAGCCAATGACTGACGTGTTTAGCAAGTACATTGAGAGTATGTTGACAAACTTTGCCCAGAATCAGCAGCAAAACTGGAAGAGCAAAAATGCCGCCATTTACCTGGTGACTTCGCTGGCTGCCAAGGGCGGCTCTGTGCGACTGGGCANTGACTTCTTCAACAATGTTATTCGCGCTGACTTGGAACGTGCAGATCTGAATGAACTGCCAGTGCTGCGAGCGGACGCACTAAAGTACATCATCACCTTTCGCAATCAGCTCTCTGTGAAGGAGACTTGGCTGCCCAT